AATGATTCCAAAGAACTTTTGCGACAAGAAAGAATAAGCTTACACGAAGAGAAGTCATCTTTGGATCAACAGAGTCAACTTTACGAAAGTCATTATAAAAAGACATTAGAAGCTGAGAAAACAAAGTTTGAAGCAAAATATAGTCAGTTAGTAGGAGAAATTGGTACTCTTCATGAGAGTATACAAAAGAAGGAGCTGTGTATTAAAGAATTACAAAGGGAAATGGTACAGCATGTAAGTATAAATTAGTAATTATTTATTTTTAAAAGTAACAAATATGATAATACTTTTCTATCCCCATATAGTTAGAAAATGCCAATTTGCTACAAACTCAATTGAAACTTTACGAAGAAGATTTCAAACATGAGAGAAAAATTAAGGAATCGTTATTAGATGAGCGAAATAATTTAAGTACGGACTTACAGAAACAGATAGAGTTCAATGCAAAATTACAGCAAGAAATTACTCGTTTATCGCCTAATAGAAATATATCTGAAAATCAAGTAAGTTTTCACGTAATTTCTGTACATACAATTTAATTCTTAAAATTAATTGATAATTTAAATTTCAGAGCAATGCGGGTAGATTAGTGCCTCCATTGGTATCAACATTTATATGCCCAAAATGTGATTCCACATTTCGAGATATGCAATCCTTGGACCAGCATATTGACCACTGTTTGTGTTTGGATTAATATGAAATTGTTCATTATTATCTTGACTATATATGCTTAGGCAATATAAATATTAAAAACTACGATAACTACAGATGTTATTAAATAGAACTGTAGGGAGATACACATAAATTTTAATGTACTAAACATCGTATATAAGACAGAATAAAATAAATAATATAAATTTTATTTATCATCAAAATTTTATTTGCAACTATAATCACAAACGATAGACTTGTCCTTGTCCTTGTTTCCTTGTTCTTGGGATGTTAGGAACCCCGAAGCACTCTGCATACCGACTTGATATCATTTTGGGGTGTTAAGGGCCCCTAAGCACTTTGCATACCGATTTGATATCATTTTGGGGTGCTAAGGACCCCAAAGCACTATTCATACCGACCCGATATCGTTTTGGGGTGCTAAGGACCCCTAAGCACTTTAGATACCGATTTGATATCATTTTGGGGTGTTAGGGACCCCGAAGCACTCTGTATACCGACCCGATAACGTTTTGGGGTGTTAAGGACCCCTAAGCACTTTAGATACCGATTTGATATCATTTTGGGGTGTTAAGGACCCCTAAGCACTTTAGATACCGATTTGATATCATTTTGGGGTGTTAGGGACCCCGAAGCACTCTGTATACCGACCCGATAACGTTTTGGGGTGTTAAGGACCCCTAAGCACTTTAGATACCGATTTGATATCATTTTGGGGTGTTAAGGACCCCTAAGCACTTTAGATACCGATTTGATATCATTTTGGGGTGCTAAGGACCCCTAAGCACTCTGCATACCGATTTGATATCATTTTGGGGTGTTAGGGACCCCGAAGCACTCTGTATACCGACCCGATAACGTTTTGGGGTGTTAAGGACCCCTAAGCACTTTAGATACCGATTTGATATCATTTTGGGGTGTTAAGGACCCCAAAGCACTATGCATACCGACCCGATATCGTTTTGGGGTGCTAAGAACCCCTAAGCACTCTGCATACCGACTTGATATCATTTTGGGGTATTAGGGACCCCGAAGCACTCTGTATACCGACCCGATATCGTTTTGGGGTGTTAAGGACCCCTAAGCACTCTGCATATCAATTTGATATCATTTTGGGGTGTTAGGGACCCCGAAGCAGTCTGCATACCGACCCGATATCGATTTGGGGTGTTAAGGACCCCTAAGTACTCTGCATACCGACTTGATATCATTTTGGGGTATTAGGGACCCCTAAGCACTCTCCATACCGTCCTAATATCATCTTGGGGTATTAGGAACCCCAAAGCACTCTGCATACCGGCCTGAAATCATCTTGGGGTGTTAGGGACCCCGAAACCCTCTGCATACCGACCTAATATCATCTTGGGGTATTAGGAACCCCAAAGCACTGTCTCTACCTACCAACCGGATATCATCTGGGGTGTTGGGGACCCCGATGCACAGGTGATACTCTGCATACCGACATAATGGCATCTGGGGTGTCTGGGACCCCGATACTAAAGGACAGACGTCTTTGCGCTTTACATATATGAGATTTTTTCTACCACACCTCATACTGACAACCAAAAAGATACAATTCTGATTCCCTTTTATTCTATTTTTTTCGGAATCGGTCCAAATTAGTATAAGACATAACAGTGATTAAAATAAATGTCTGTAATCACTTGCATCCAGTTTATGCGGCTTGCTAAATAAATCATTTCAAAAAAGCAACTGAGTTATTATTTAATTTATCCAATTTCCGTTCTAAGTAATTTATTTTATTTCCACAATTTCCATTCTGTGTTATTTATTTAATGCAAATAATTTCCTTCTCCAGTTATTCATTTGATTGACTTAAATTTATGCATTCCCTACATCCCAGCAACCCTTACATATCTACATTCTTTTCATCGTTAAATTGTCGTCACCCCTAAATTCTTTTCATCCCTACATTCTTTTCATCCATACATTCTTCCCATCCCTACATTCTTCCCATCCCTACATTCCTTCCATCCCTACATTCCTTACATCTCTTCATCCCTTAAATCCCTACATTCTCTTCGTCCCTACATTCCTTACATTTCTTCATCCCCGACATCCTTACATTCTTTTCATCCCTACATTCCATACATCTCTTCGTCCCTACATTCCTTACATTTCTTCATCCCTTAAATCCCTACATTCTCTTCGTCCCTACATTCCTTACATTTCTTCATCCCCCACATCCTTACATTCTTTTCATCCCTACATTGCTTACATCGCTGCATCCCTTACATCCCTACATTCCTTACATTGCTTCATCCCTTATAATAAATATATTATGAAGACGGCTTATAAAGAATTTCGCGAAAATTTCGAAAAAATAGCGCCCCCTAGCGGCAAAAATTTGAACTAAAATTTCGATGTCGAATCAGCGCCATCTGGATTCGGAAAAAGGAACTAAAGCAGGCACCATTTTTGGCCCTCTGGCGGCAAAAATGTGAACTAAAATTTCGATGTCGAATCAGCGCCATCTGGTTTCGGAAAAAGGAACTAAACCAGGCACCATTTTTGGCCCTCTGGCGGCAAAAATGTGAACTAAATTTTCTAGGTCGATACAGCGCCCTCTGGCGGCGAAAAAAGGAACTAAATTTGTACAAAATTGCGCGGGTGAGGTACAAAAGAGATGCAGGAATATAGGTGAGACAAGGATATAACGGATGCAGGAATATAAGGGAGGTAGAGGTGTAAAGGATGCAGGAATATAAGGGAGGTAGAGGTGTAAAGGATGCAGGAATATTAAGGGAGGTTGAGGTGTAAAGGATGCAGAAATATAAGGGAGGTTGAGGTGTAAAGGATGCAGGAATATAAGGGAGGTAGAGGTGTTAAGGATGCAGGAATATTAAGGGAGGTTGAGGTGTAAAGGATGCAGGAATATAAGGGAGGTTGTGCTGTAAAGGATGCAGGAATATAAGGGAGGTAGAGGTGTAAAGGATGCAGGAATATAAGGGAGGTAGAGGTGTAAAGGATGCAGAAATATAAGGGAGGTTGAGGTGTAAAGGATGCAGGAATATAAGGGAGGTGGAGGTGTTAAGGATGCAGGAATATTAAGGGAGGTTGAGGTGTAAAGGATGCAGGAATATTAAGGGAGGTTGAGGTGTAAAGGATGCAGGAATATAAGGGAGATAGAGGTGTAAAGGATGCAGGAATATAAGGGAGGTTGAGCTGTAAAGGATGCAGGAATATAAGGGAGGTTGAGCTGTAAAGGATGCAGAAATATAAGAGAGGTTGAGGTGTAAAGGATGCAAGAATATAAGGGAGGTACAGGTGTAAAGAATGCGGGGATGTAATGGGTGCAAGGATCTAAGGGATGTAAAGAATGCATATAGGAGCAATAAAATCAACACGTTCTTTCTCCTAATGAGTTTATTTAATAAGCTGGGAAGATAAATACAGTAAATTAAATAAATGCAGAAGATAAAATAAGGATCTTGTACAGGTAGATCTGCACCCCTCGACGGTCGCTGGAAGACTGAGGTTCGCTCTAGGTCGAACTGTTAATGACGGCAATGCAACCAACGAAAAATCTGTATTACGCGTTTACTTGTTTGTTCACCTTTACCCGAATCGGTCTCCGCAGACTGTTTTTTTTTTTTTTTTTTTTTAACGTGAGGAAATCTTGCATAAGACCCCCTGCCGTCCCTTGGGGCAGGGCAGCGGGGGAGTGTCAGATTCTTACTGACTAAAACCTCACGGCGACCGGCACTGGCGTTAAAGAAGGGCTCCAGGATCTTATACATACTTAGGAGCCCTTTACGCCTTGCACACTGGTGCCTATTTCGGGGGAGGTCCAAACTAGGACCTCCTCCTGCTGCCTTACTCTATGGCCGACACCAGGGGTCGCACCCAGTGCCGGCCTTTTCTCGGGCCGCGTGCAAGGGTGTCCGGAGGCCCCACTCCAGACACCTGCGGCCCTACATGCTGATAAAGTTATGAACGACATTAAAATGATAAAAATGTTTCTTGCATTGTTTTTAAAACAAAGCTATTTGCAAAATTTTAGTGAAATCTGACAAGTTTTTGAAAGTACAGCTGACGCACTGTATGCGTCCTGCATTTTATACAATCTACGACACGCTATAACTAACATTGCATCAAATAACGTTTACAAATCTTAAAACTGATATCAACTCTAAATCAAATTAAAAAGCTCAATATTCTTTATTATAAAATTATAATATAAATTTCAATTTTTATCAATTTCTTTAGTTCTTTCACAGTTTTTGTTACGGCACTGACGATGACGTCGAGATACACGCAAGCGCGGATTGCTGACGCCAGAAACGGGCGTAGAAAAGTGGTCGGCTGTTCAAAGCGGGTGTTGTTCAGCCGATGGTAGTCAGCGCTCGGAGCGTGTAGTGTGTCAGTGTCCGGTTGGGTGCGGAGGCGTCGCAATTCTTCGCGGTAAACGTCCAGTAGGCGTTTGTATCATTCACTGGCCAAGAATATTATCCGCTGGTGTTACATGTCAACCGAGGTCGAATCGAAAGCAGAAACTTAAAACTAACGATTCAGTGAAAGTGGCAGACAGAGCGGTGACAGCGAGATTTCGCGCGTGTTCAAGCCGGGAGGCGCATGTTGCTCTCCTCAAGGTTCGATCGACCTGAAGACAGCTGGGAGAAAATCGTTCGGGAGGGATGCTTTGAAACACACACACAGTTATTTCATTCAAGGTGAGCCTCTTTTTATCGTGGCTCCTCTCAGCTGAATTCATCTCGGAACGAGATAATGTATTTGACCCTATAACCCTTCCCGGCTTAAACCATCCAATTGTGATTAAAAGAAGAAGAAGAATTTTAAAGTGGATTCTTATATTTAGTCTTTTACTTTTATTAAATTATTTTATTATTTGAAATGTTAGCAATTCAATATTGATTGATTAATTATTTTGTTAGATTTGTATAGTTTTTAATTCTCTCCGTTCAATGTTCCGAGCGCAGTGGAATGCCGCAGCACACATGGCTGGATCTACTGCGGCTAATACGTTAATGTCTTACTATTATAAAATAGGATTTGTTAAATGAATATTTTATTTTATCCGCTCTATAATAAATTATGATGTCTTAATCGCTATCTGACTCATTTGAACAATGATTTTTCCTATCCAATCAAATTATTTTGAATAACTTTAATATTACGTATAAACACTACCTCAATCTTTTATAAATTGGGAGGTTCTTTGTCGATCGTTCGATATGAATATCGGAGTAAAATTTGCATAGTATTATTAACATCATGTGGCAGCACTGTTATACTTAACGGATCTCGAATCGTGAGAGGAGAATATAAATCATTGAACATTCTCCGAGTTCCTTAGAATTATGTTAAAAATCTTAGAAACCTGTATCGTTCTGATTCCCCCGTTCTACTCCTTTGAAATTCATCTCGTCACGATTTTCGTGACCCGGAAACTAGTTTGGTTCCGCGCGAGAGGCGGAAGAATACGAGTCGCTCGTAAAACCGCTGACATTTCGCGGAGTTTACGATTTCTTCGTTGGAGAAAAGTTCTAACAAGAGTCATTACCCGGGTAGTCGGTACCAATTCTGCAGTATTCCGATATAAGAGTAATACGTACCTAAAAGCACCGAGTTAGGTACCAATGAATCATGGTGTGCCTTTACTTTCTTCTGTACATTCACGAATATGCATGAGGCCTTGAGGAAACAGGCGATAATGCATGGACTATCATAAGTCGATGGGTTTAGGTATTTACATAGAGCGAAGCCACTCGCGAGTGATTATAAATAACGCAATTTATAATCAAGAAATTACTGTTACTCGTACACTTTAAAATGACTAAGGAATAATTTATAAAATGGTAATATGTAGTTGGGTAAATATTGGGTTCCGTTTATTTTCTGAATTGAAATTTCAATTCCGGCTTGAACCTATCAATTAAGGAAGTTGAAAGATCAAATTTAAAATAGCGAACTACGTAGGGGTCTTTGCCCCTAGATAAAATAGGTAAAATAATAATAAAACAAATTGATTGATTTGTATACCTAGGGCCCGAAAAATTCTAGATGTGAACCTGTGCCTAGTACAATATTAGACTAAGTCATTTGTGAGCTCCTAAGGCTAGAAGACGAATAGTAAACAACTCTATTATAGTTAAGACCTCTGAATGTGGGACACGAAAGTTTCAAAACAGGATCGTTTCTGTGACAAAAACCACAAACAGCAGAAATGTACCTTTATACTGTCAAATTAGAATTTATATTTACGCTAATAATTTTATATTTTAATAATTACAAATAAATTTATAATTTATACTAAACCTTCAGATAAAGAATTTAATCGATCTGTTAACCGATCATTATCGCCTATCAAATTATTCGGAAAGTTAACCCGAATCGTACTCGTTCTGAAAATGTGTAACAAGCCCCGTGCACACCCTTAATCAAACCATTTTTCGGTCGCGTGTCACACGCACCCCCTACGCATACGGTACACGCAATGTGTACCCATTTCCTTGTAAAAGAGTATCCGATTAATTTAATAGAAGGTACTGTACGAGAATCAAAGCGAGTCCTCGTGAGGGAACAGAAGTAATTATATTTTACCAACGTCTTTCGTGCGCCTTATCGAAAGAATTTAATACTCCTTTGTACGTGTGCCTTGTATAATAATTAAATGATGAGTAATCTTCTGTAATGACAAGGTGGTACTTGTTCTCGTCATTAGTGTTATAACGTGTCTCACTACTTACTACTTCACCTCATCGATAAACTTATTAATAGTCACCAAGTTTCGCAGAATCAATCGCATAGTAAATTGAACGTTCATTGAGCAACTCTGTGCACGACGTTTACACGATTGACTTTCCAGAACGACGAAGGCTAAAATTACTGAGATACCACAATGTCTCTGTCATTGGTATCGATTCATAGGTAAACCTGACGACTACTAATTCACTATTGAAAGTCACGCTGCTCATATTCCTCGTTTAACGAAGTTAAAACAAAGAGGAAGTATCGAAGAACTCTTTGTAGATAGTAAAGTTCGTTCCAGTGTTTTCAGGCACCTGTTATAGCCTAGCATTGTGTTATCTGTTTGTTAGCGGAGTCGATAAGATGGTGATTCATTTCTGGGATCATTGGCGAAGGAAACCTATTAATAAAACCGATAATAAAATTAATAGTAGCAGATTATCGCAAGCAAAGAATATTCCAAAATATATTATTAAAATTTTATTCTTCACACTTTTAGATTAGGTTTTTAATATGTTCATTTATGGAATTGTGTTACCTCCTGATTCGAAGACAAACATTGATCGACTGAATTAATAGGAGAGGAATTAAAAACAAGTGTCCCCGTTATTTGATTCGAGTAATATATTTCTTGAACCGGTCTGGTCAGAGCAAGACGACACGTGGTTGATTGAAATGCACCTTCACGTACCGAGTTACTTGGCTCAACTAAATGGACTTAATGCAAAACGACTCACGAGTGTCGTTTGCATAGGCTTCAAAACACCGTCGTTCTTGAATTTCATATCTTTGAAACATTATTTATTTGTTTTCTACCTCTTTAAACCTTTTAAATTGAAATTTTATGAGTTGGAAAATGTCAGAATTATCAATAGTTCCCAGTGATTTTTATCTGGTTCCGCTGATATATAGTTAGTCACGCGTGTCATCGATCGTATATCTTGTTGTCACTCTGTTATTTATCAAAAGGGGACGTTACTCCACCTTTTCCGTAGACCTCGACAAGACGATACATGGACGAACGCGGAAAACTCTCTAATGGATCGGGTTTAAAAACGAATTGCACGTTACCTATTCCTCTGATATCGCGTTTCCTTGATGCAACTGTGCGTGAAGCAAGGTAACCCCCCGTGAAAAATTCTAATCTTTCCTCTCCATGTAACCGGAAGTTCGTAACGTGCCTACTTCTTTGTTTTCTCAATGGAAATATAAAAATAGTGTTTCAATTATTGTCCATTTAAATTCTCCATTGTTAAAGCGATCATGTGATATAATATCCATGCTGCTTAAAATTTTCTTACACTTCAAAGTGTTAATTTAATGACTGGTAAGTCGTAAAAATTACCTTCGGTGAATTGTACTATGGACGTTAATTTCAAAATACCATTTTCATTTTACTTTGCTTATCAGGAAGTAATTCCTTTTATGATACCACTAAATTCTTCAGTTGCTCTTTCCATCGGGGTCAAACGATAAAACCGTGTGCATATATCCATTGGTTGTAACATTCGTAGATAATGGGAGACGCATGAAGACAATAAAAAAATAGAGACGAGGTGTCTAACAATTTTCATGAAATATGAAAGATAAAAGATGATCCCATATCGACGATGGACGTTATCATTACGACCATCAATCGTTATTCCTCTTATGCTCTGTTATTTTGGTATCATGTTAGAAGATAATGATATATCATGTCCATGGAAATAGGTAGACGCACCTTACTCGATACAGTACCGTATAATTGCTCGATAATTAAGCTGGGTGCGCCAGTTTTTACCGAAACCATTGGCAACTGATGAAAGCTCTTCTGAGAAGCACTTTGTCAAATAATTTCAAGTTTTCCTCTATTTTCAACCCCTTATCTCTGAATGACAATTTACCCTCTTGTTAAAGGAGGGAATTATTTATGGAGCATTAAATCGACAAGAAATAATAAGGTTTCTTTTTGAACTGTGTACTTCTTGGTGATCATCCAAACCGCCCAATGACCGGACCCTCTTTCACGAAACCAAACATCGATACTATAGTGAAATTTTATACGGAAACAGGAAATGTGTGCACACGGTGTGCACGTCATATCCGATGTGTACATTCATCGGGTGTTTGGGTACCATTAACGTTTGGCACGAGCACAATTTTTAATAAATTATAACAGCGACACTTTATAAATCAGACAAATCACTTAACGTTATAGACAGTAATGCACTGCCAGATTAGGATCTCAAAGATTTTGAGGTCCCTCTATACAGGATATTCAATATATTTATATTACCAAAAAATGTTTTCTTTCTGCTGTTTCGTACACATATGCACATAAATGTTTAGTAATACTATTGCTACATAAAAGATCTAAAAATTCACAAAATTTCTCAGTGTCCCTTTCTCCTGTTTCCCTGATGTCCAAGCACGTGGTTATTTCGCTTATCGATTAATCCAGCACTGTTGTGATGGATCAAAGAGGTAATAGGTTAAGAGATAAATTGGATAATTTATACGTACATTTTGTCGTTAATTCTTGAAGAAGGGTTAAAGGGGTAGTGAAAAGGGATAGCGGAACGTAAGAATAAAGCGAGTGGCGCGTGTTGGAGAAAACGAGGTTAAAGGTATCCGACTGCGGCAGTGTCGTATCGATTCCAGTAGAGCTGACATTGCCGTTGCAAAATCTCGAGATGTTGACAGCGTACATACACGGTGGATAATTTTACGGGACCATTTTCTCTGTGTTTCAGGGTGAAAGGCCATCCGAACAGATCGAGGCATGCCGCAGTATTGGCCGAACGTGGCCCTCGTCAGGGTTGTTCTGCCACTTGTCTTGACAGGATGTGAGTCTTTTACATTATCGTCATCTTAATTTATAAATAATTCGATCATACAGAATATCTGATTAAATTGATGCGAATATTTTTGGATAGCTTTTAAATAAAATTCTTCAATTGATTGCTTTCCAGTAATAGAATGTTTAATTGTTTCTTCCGTCATCAGAATCCTTTTAATGATTTTATGCAGTGTGTTTGGAATAGATAATATAAGCGTGTCCCACTTGTTACGATAAGCTTTCAGGAAATGTTACGCCATATTACGATAGGAGAATATTTAATAACGTAGCTGTAAACGAGTCCAGATGTTTTTCGAATAATTCTTGTTGGAAGTTTGTAGATCTCGTGTCAGGTTTGCACAGAGGTACTAGAAAATCGCATTTCTATTCGCAGACTGTACTCTGTTTACTATTTTCTCTTCCTGGTGTTCAGCAACCAAAAGTTTGACCAGTTGCCAACGAATTCGAGTGCCCATTATTCGTATTCCAGTACAATGCACGAATTATTACAATTTTAGCACCGCCCTCTTTCAATTGAATAAATTTTGAAAAAGAAGTGGAGGATAATTGTGTATGATTATGAAAAATTAAATTGGTGTTATTTTCACGTGTACGTGGTTCGCTGGAACGCGTCTTGCATTCTTTTTTCACGATGCATCGTTAATTATAGAAACCGTGGACGGTTAATTACCTCGTCCAGCTCGTGCAAGATGATAATACGGGCGATAACGACGTTGCATTCAACACCGACGTCGTAATTTCTTTCATATTTCATTTTTTGCACCGATTGCGGTCTGAAGATCAAAGGGAGTTGTGGTTGAAAAAGATCATTCGTGGGAATTAAAACTTCCTTTGAATCGCGAAATTTTTCGCCTACATACGTAGCATTTAAAAATATTTATATTATTAATAGACGTCTGTTCTCAAAGTGTAATGTAAAAATCAGTGGCGTAACTAGGTAGAGGTCAGGGTGGACCTGAGACCCCCAAAAATTCTACAATTATAAAATTAAAATTTCACATTTTCAAAATTATAAAATTAAAAAATTTAAGATTCTTAAAATTTAGAAAAATACTCTACTTACGCCAATAGTACAAATTTTGATAATTTTGATAAAATGCAGACAACGTTCTAACGAAAGCGATGCTCTCTAATTATAGACGGCGCCTTGCAAACAGAATCGAAACACTGTCTCGACGGTGGAATTCTGCAGCACTTTCTCAAAATATATATATGTGCTGGTCAAACCACCTTTAAAAATTCTCCTTTTTCATTTTAACAACGTGAGAATCGTGTTGGTTACATCATTCCTATTCTTAGTAGCACGATACTCTGTTACAATAAAAATTTATCCCTTTTATAAATTTACCACCAACGAGGAAACTATCGGGTGTCATTAAAGAGATATTTCTATAATTGGAGAAAATAGGCTGTCATTTATCGAAGACAACGTAGAAACATCATGACGCATCATGAACATATGTGGCACTATTGATAACACCCTGATAATTAATGAGAATAATAAGCCTTGCCTGGTAATAGAATGATCAACACGAGACACTTAAATTTGACGTACCATCATTAGACAAATTTCTATTTCGAAATAGAAAAAATATTCGAGCAGGAGAAAGGAGTCCATTTATTCTTTTCCTTGAAAATAATACTGTTTCCAGTTTCACACGATTCATTTGCTTTCAATAGGATTAACCACGACTTAAGGTCATCAGTTGATTACGAATCACTATTTTCATATAATGATGTCATCAGAGAACCACTCCAATGTTTTTAATATTAACACTCATCGGTTCTTCATTTTTAATCTTACAAAGATCGAGTTTTATACATAAAAATTATTTAGTAAACAATTTCATTCAATAATTTTTTACATAGAAATTTTTTAGATGTAAAAACAGGTATGGGAACTCGATCCCTTCTTGGTCTTTCTAAAAATAATTCATTGATAAAGTTTGCATCTGTACAAATTTTATTTTTAAAACACAGGTGTTTGCCTTTTTAGTAATTGAATGACCCTCGTATTCTTCAGCATTATTACTTCATTCGTGTATGTAAACTGAAGATTGAAATGTCAATACACGTGGAGTTTCATCTGTGAACTCCCTAGGCTGAAACTGACCTTTTCACAGGGAAGAAAATTGTCTTTCTTTCTACCCAGTCCCTGTTTCATATTGTCAGAATGAAATGCACTTGTTTGCGTGTCGAGTGTCGTTTAGAAATGTCGCGGAATGTGGGTGTTCTTTTGTATCATAGATCATTGTCAAAAAAATATTCACCTCTTGTAAAAAGTTATTCAACCCACTCGGTTCTTTGTGACATTTTTCAACTATAATTTATCCAGAGTATTTTTACAATTTTTTTAAAGCCTAATATAGCAAAGAAATTAGGTCATGATATAAATTAACTATTCTATTTTCTTCTGTTTATCGCTTGATTATTGAATTAAACAGGTACGGTATGGCGACCTGTGGGACTGTCCCTGGTTTATTTAGCTCTGATGCTATACTCACCCCATGTCCCCATACCAAATGCGAAGACAATGGCTGGCCATACGGGACATTATTTGAAGACCTGCATCGGCCTATCTTTCCTCACAGCCACCAGTCAATTAACCTTCCACATAGTTCTACTGGCGTTGCCTGCTTATGGACACTTTCTTCAAAATTGTACGTAAATCATGCAACAAAATATGCTTCAAAAAAAAAAAAAAACTAAATCTTTAAGAATTAATTCACTTGATATATTAAGAATTAAGTGCAATTTTAATAATAATTACTTGGTCCTCGACGTATCTGGATGATTTTTAGGCGAATGGATGGAAATGATCTTCAGGCACATAGGTTTCGTGAGACTAGATAGCGCATCTCCTTGGGAGATCTTTTTCTGGTTAACCCCAGAATTGGTTGTCCTACCCACTAGCATAGCAGTGTATTTTATATGTCGTTTCCTGTCTCGAAACTCCGTCACTGACGAAGAAGATGATGCATCGTTGCGTCAAGGTGCAACGAACACTAAAAAGACCGAGGACAGTAAAACAAAGGTATTAGTCCGAAACACTGTTCTCCGTAATAAAAATACTAAGAATATTAAAAATCCGAAAAATACTCAGGCCGTCAATTTCCTGGGTCGTATCGGAACCTATGTGGTCTTGGCATCATTATGCATCACAGCATCCCTGAAACCATCAGTGGAGGGTGGTTTCTACTTCGTCGTCTTCCTAGGAGCAGCCACCTGGTGGGCATGCAACAAAGAGCTTCGAAAGGGATTCGCCGTGCTTTGCAGGATCGTGATGATCATCGTGATCATCCATCTACTGGTCCTCCTAAGCTATCAGAATCAACTGCCTCAGGAATTGATACCTTTGAACAGTACCTGGCAGCGTTATCTCGCTTTGACTCCGATCTATCAGACGAAATGCAGTGATCCGAGAAACGTGGACTATACTGAAAATGCTGACTGGTTGATCTATGGATACTGTTTGAGACTGTTTTGGCTGTACTACGTTCTGGCTTTGCAGTCTCAATTCCTGAGCAAAAAGCCGGTGAGTTCATTGTTTATGTCGATTTTCTTTTACATTAATTACAGATGCAATCAATGGAGGAAGTCATTTTGGAGGTTTCAAAATGATTTTCTATCAAAGTTACCTGTCATTTTAAATCCCAGGGTTATTAAACCTTCGAGAGGAAACCTTCTAAGACTCGCCCTTAATCTGACACTGTCTCCAGAATGACTTCACCCTCAACATAATAGTTTCAAGTGTCATTTAATTAATTAATTACGATTATTGTTATAGTACTTGACTAAAAACTGTTCGAATACCTTGGGTGTCCTAAAAACAACCGATAAACAAATTAATATAAATTTGTTAAGAGCTTGATTCTGAATCTATCTTCTCAGATTGCGTGCCTGTTCGCCTTATTCAATTAATAATTCCTTGTGGTTAAAGAGAACAATTAACACTGATATGATAACACGAATAACTGTGCTTCCATGATCTCTTAACTAACTTTACAACGAATCCAAGTTTGTTCCGTTTTGAAGAATGTTGCTTTTACTAACGAGGCGTTCCAGGCAAAGAAAGTGAAACGCTTAAGCGGCAAACTGGAGAACCTGGACACTCCATTGTCTAGACACGTTTCTATCAGACGAAGGACACCTTCACAAAGATGGCAATCTGCCCGTCGAAAGGCCCGCGTAAGGATTCTTCCTCCAGCATGTCCAGATTTTCCCAATAAAGATTATTCACTCCTCCTAGTCACGCTTCAATCATTTATCCTTCCTTGTAGAAACAATTATTCAATTAACTCGGAATGTTATTCATCGAAGTATGCACCATTTCAATTGTAAATTCCCATTGATTCGTTTTACCTTGCAAGACGAATCCATTGTAATTTTCACCTACTTTTCATTTATAAATATCATATTATAATAATTTTTAGAAATTTCTTTGGTGTCAAAATTACACTGCATCCGTCGTGTAAGGGACAATTTTTAACCTGTTTTATACTGGAATGATATTTAAATGGAATGCAGCACAATTTACAGTTACACGATTAATTTGTACATAGGAGAATGGTAATAGTTATAAAAATTATTTCTTTGTTATTCAATGGACCAGTTTCCAATCTGACGACCCCCATGTTGGTTTTTTATTTGCTGTCGCCTTCCAGATTTGCGGTTGTTCTTTAACGCTGAGCAAAAAAAAAAAAACTCTTTTCCGTTTGGATGCCGCTATGTTTAGTTTGCCATTGTTTTAGAAGCCGATCGTTAATTCGTCGTCTCTACCTGTCGACGAGCGCACACCCGTACGTATAATGATTAAGTTTGCACGTTCATTATCGCAGGGATCACTCTTATTCACTCGTTCGATGTCGATGCTATTCTCATGTATTTTAAACAAACACATTTAATCAATTCGCTGCGAAAATATGAATTTTTTGTAAAATAGTGAGGGGTCCACTTCAAAATTTGGAAAGGTCAGGAAAACCTCTGTCTTTATATTTACATTGTTCGCAGCGAAGGGGTTAATACTTTTTTCTTACTCTTTACACAATCATTGCACATTTAAAACTCTTACACTTTAAGAATTGCACTACTTTAATTAACGGTGAAGGTGAATAATATCACTCTCGTGTAGCTTGCATGTGTATGCTTAATGAGAAGAGAATTTTGTAGTGCAAATCAAAATTCCATCGCGAGAAATAGCATAGTTCTATGTAGAAATAGGATTTTTTAAAGATACATAGAGATTATTAGTATTCCCAATTTTATTCAATAGTTGATGCGATTTGGGTCCGGAAGAACGGGGCTGCTGCAAGATTCCACCGGAAGTGTCATCGTTCAAGATGGTCATCAGGATGACAGTATTCAATTGCAAAGTCTTAGCGAAGGTTTGTATTCCTTCGAACCAAGTGAAAAATGTGAAATGCAATTAATTAATAAAATAAACTTTAGCTGCTCCTGATGAACAATCTGGTATCATCGAACACATCATTATGGCTGTGTACTCGATTTTCCAATTGATCATCAATTCATCTTACATCGCTACCAATATTATAATGATGGTAAGAATCGATATCAGTAACGTAATCATAATTGTCATACAATAGAATTTCAAATATGCTTGTTATATTATTTCATTGATTAGACTTGGAGCATAATGTATCATAGTTGGACAACGTTTGCTCTGTTACTATGGGCTTTGATCCTCTGGATGGCACCTAACAAAAGAGCAGCGATGATGAAGTGCTCTCCCTTCATCGTTCTATATGCAATGCTTCTTCTTCTTTGCCAGTATATTTACAGTATGGATTTAACTGAGGAGGAATTACCAACAGAGATAAATGGAGTAAAAATGTCGGAAATTGGTTTTAGTAAAGCTGATCAGCAAAGTCGTTGGCATTTAGTGGTCAAAGTAAATAAAACAAAATCATTTATCTAACTCATTTAACCCTTTCGTTCTTGAATCTGAATTTTACTTATCAGATCCAAAAGTCACTTTGATTATTGATGAAAGGGTTAAATTGATATCAGCTACATCTTCAACGAATCCTAACAATCATTTTACAGTGTATATTCATATCGATGTTCTGGATCACGATGAGACAGTATAACGCTGAAAGAATTAGACAGAGACGTTCCTCAGCATTGCGAGACATGGTAGCTCCATTACACGTGTCCGTATCGACAGCCACCACTGCCATGAACCAAGAGGCACCTGAAATCAAAAGTAAATTCATGAAGGACGTTGGTATCGTCCTGAAGAAGTTACTTACGAAATTCTGGATCGCCGTAGTAGCTATCATGCTCTTCATATGTGGAATCACTGGCGAACGTATGACGGTCTTCAGGATTGTCTACATGTCTCTCTTCCTGGTTCTAGTCATTACGTTCCAGGTACATGAAATTAAAAAATATATATTTTCTCGCTCATGAGATGATGAAGAAGATGGTGAAGACATTTAATTTTTACGATAATCCAGATATCCTGGACAGTATGGAGGAAGATGATGTACTCATTCTGGCTCACAGTCATCGGGTACTCGGTGATTATGCTGATTCTCGTCTACACTTATCAATTTCATAATTTCCCGGAATATTGGAATTACTTGCGCATAGATAAGGATCTACAAATGGACATAGGATTAGAGAAATACGAAACCAAAGATCTATTCGTTAGGCTTCTAACGCCAACGTTCTTCGTCATCATCACTGTCCTTCAGATTCATTATTTCCATAAAGATTTCTTGGAAGTGACGAATATCGAGAGATTCGGGTTAGTAGGTTGACCATGTCGTTTAATCTGAGCCTAATGGGTTGTAAAAACGTGCGATTAAAAATCGTAGGAGCGAGAGTAGCACTATCAGACGATCCAGTCTTGGCCATTCACCGACTCTTAACATATTACCAAACAACCCTGCGGAGGTTTTTATTCCTGAAGAGAACGACGAAACCATGTACACCTTACGGCAATTAAAACGTATGTTCATTTAATCATTTCACAAGAAATGTGTTAAATATGTTATTTATTCAGGTATGTCCAGATTGGAAAGAATTGCATTATTCCGTAAAGTAATTGGTCATCTTGTGAACTTTTACAATCACACCTGGCTGTTCCTTGAAATTCATATGCAAAAGATTATCTTCATTTCTGTGATACTTCTTTGTGTAAATGATGTGAGTTCTCATCGATTTAATTAAATTTTGTGTTTTATATATGGTTTACTTAAATTGTATATTACAGGTCTGTGCTATTAATTTCGTGTTCGTTGCGATAGTGGTTATCATGATCAATTCTAAGAGGACCCTTCAAATTTGCACGGTCAATACAATTGCAGCGATCATCGCTATGTTATTGGTTGTGAAGATGCTTTATCAGATTCAGTATATTGATCATAATAATTGGAACGTTAATTGCACGGTAAGTATGCGAGAAAATTTCTTAATAATTGGTAATTAAATAGTAATTTCTACAAAATTATTTTAACATTTTCAGAGGGACACAGACGAATCTCAACATCCTTACGCCAGTAATAACACAGTATACAACATAGCAGAGTGGTTTGGAATGAAGAAAGCAAAGCCAGGACACCTGGCAGAACTGCTAAAAGGCTACATAGGGATTATAACAGTGACGACACTGAGAAAAGTCATCAGAATTCGACAGTGTTTCTATCGACAACAGCGTGGTGAACCTCTGGACACGCCGCAAGTCATGTTCCCATCGATCACCAGAGCGAATGCTGATAAAGGGATCCAAGAATGCCTGAAATTCCTTTTCAATTATGGATTCTACAAGTTTGGCGTGGAAATGTGTCTGATAGGAATTGTGGCTCTGATTGGCACCAGATTGGATTTTTACTCGGTTCTATACAGTATCTGGTTGTTGCTGCTCTTCTCCTTGAAGAGAAAAACTATCTCCAAAATTTGGCCCTTCTTCAAGTTCTTCGCCATAGTCCTTTTACCTATACAGTATGCTCTGGTCGTGTCACTGCCCTCCTGGTTGTGTCTAGGTCATTAAACATCCATAATGAAAATTAATAAATTGGAATACACAAATTATAAATCGAAATTATCCATTTTCAGATTATCCATGGGGCAAATCTACAATACTGAGGAGACTACAGGAATGGATGTACTTCCCTGACCCAGATTTTCCACCAAATCCTAGGAAATTAATATGTAAGATTAATGTGTTCTTAATGTTGCTTCAGTCAATTTAATACCACCTGATTCTGTTCCAGGTGACTTTATCTTGCTGATGATGATCGTAAGACAGAGCCTCGTTTTTCAAATCGAGCAACGAACCTCCGCGGCTGGAGAGGAATTTCCAGCTGGACACAATTACTCCGTGTACCAGAACATGGAGAAACCAAATTTCGTGAATCCGGTGAAGGACTACGTGTCACACATTCACTCGTGGTTAGACATCGTGAAACGAGGTGTAATGATGAGTCTCATGTGGATCACTTTGTCCATCATGTTCTTGGCTGGAACCAAGAGGACCAACCTCTTCTCCTTGGGTTATCTGATCGGAGCGTTCATATTCCTCTGGCAGGGCAGCGATTTTTATCTGAGACCAGTCAAGACGATCCTGAAGTGGTGGAATCTGTTGATTGGATACAACGTTACTGTGATCTTCTTGAAAGCCTTGCTTCAGGGTATAGGTTGTGTCCTGATAACAGAGGTAAATCCTTGGAAGTCTTATCACAAAAGCACAGTGTTAACGAAAAATTGATATTACAGTTGGAAACTTCAGCATGTCCAGTGATCCAGTTGTTTGGAATAAGCTGTCTAAGGAAGTTTCGAAGTTCAGCCAGTGATATTGTGTTGGACAAAGTTGATTGTGAAGTTCCTCGCGAGGACATAGGCATGGTTTGGGACGGTCTATGTTTTGGCTTCCTTTTGCTGCAGAAACGACTCTTCAAGAGCTACTATTTCTTCCACATAGTGGACGAAACGAAAGCCATGAGTGTGTTAGCTTCTCGAGGTGCTGAATTACTGGAGGAGCTACATCAAAAGCGTATTGAAATCCAGGATAACGTGGAGAGGAACGTGCTGCAGAAGTTAAAGTTCAAGATGGACAAGATCAAGGCCAATCAGAGGAAGATACAAGGACCAAGTTACAGAGAACCTCAGATGCACAAAGTTGGTAAGGACTGTTCCAATCTTCAGATTTATTTTTTGTAGGGAATTAAACAGTCAGGTTGATTAATTATTTGTGTAATCCTGAATGTCTATCTGATCCTTTGGATCTGAGCACACTTTCCACTACCTGGAAGTAATCCTTGAGCTTCCAATAATTTCAAGAATGTTGACCCTTTCGCTGAAAGCAATTTATTCCACAATCAGTAGAAGCAATGATCCTTCACCTTCCTGCACCCTTCAGCACCCAAGAAATAACCTTACCTAACTCGTGACTCACCTGCACCACCACAGGATGTCTCACAGGCTAACCAAGAATCTCTATATTTAATGCACCCGAAAAAAAAGAAGGGGAGGCGCCTTTGGCAAGGTCTTCCAGCGTAAGTTCGTGCGTCTCGTCGGGTCATACGCCTCCTCAGGGTTATCAGACGCCGATCGACGAGGACGAGGAGGAGCCAGCTCCGTTGACACCGCGAGCAGCCTCCCTGTTGCAGGCGCCCACCCCAAATTCCGCTGTGATGACAGTGAGCCTCGAGGGTTACCTCGAACCCACTCGTATTTCTTTCGGTTCTCCACCGAGTAGCGAGCTGAATCCACGCGGGCCATCACCGGACGAGACGTTCCCTGTGTTCTCTCCTCCGCCGTACGATCGTGGACCACCGGATCGATCGTTGACATCGTCGATCAGGCATCGTCGTCAGTCCAGCTTCATCGGTCCACCGTGGATGAACGGGTTGCAGACACCACGACAGTCAATCGTCTCGACCACCTCCCGTTCCCCGCATTCTCATCACACATGTAACGACAGAACGGAAACAAGATCGTCCTCTTCGTCGATCTGCTACGATGTCCTGTACATATGCTTCCGCTCCAGCACCTTCTAGATCATCTATGACGCACCCGTATCTTTCTCGTTTCGTATTTTGATCGTGTTGATAGGAGTATTTTGTTGATTTTGAGACTACAGAAAGTTGGACACGTCTGTCCATATTGATATTTTCAATCAGGGGTGTCATGTTAAGCTCTTCTTACACTCCTCCCTCTTTCTGACGCCCCTGTTGATCATAAATTTCATAGAAATGTTTTTTGAATCATCCTATATTTCTTTATACGCTTTCGTTGAATTTGTTAGATGTGATCTCTTGGTACATAGATGTAAATAATTGAACATAATTTCGTATCTGTTTCTCGATGGTTAGATTATTTTTGTTGATGTTTTATCCCACCCCTTGACATCTGATCCATACTCCATCTTTGTCATAATTAAATTCACCTATTTTGTAGGAAATAGAAGATCCAAAATCCATTTACTTTCTTCACAGATCGTCCTACCCTGTCGATCCTGCTGATCATGGACTTCAGGATACTACTATGATTACTGAACATGTAATATATGTATTATGTATAGATGTATATTGTTTGTAAGATAGATCAATTCGTATGTGCTGATGACATTTATTTTCAGTTTTCTTTATCTATCTATCTTTTCTGTTTTTTCTTTTCGTTAGATACTCTCTATCCAGGGACACGGCCGTTGTACAGAGTTCGCGCTCCAAAGACCTACAAAGAGGGTAAATGAACAATTTCCATTCTTCGCAGTTTTTCTGGGCTTTAACTCCACTAACTGATGTCTTCACATCCTAATTAACAATTGGTCCTTCTGCTTTTACAGAACTTCACGCTGTACATAAGTTTTCTATTTATATGTACGTGTGTGTCTCTTCAAAATTAACACCTTACCTTACCTAATTGTTAATCATCTATTTATGATAAAGTATAGGTAAGGTGTTCAATCCACGGATTTAACCTTCTCTTACTGTAATTACTTCCCTTAGGTATAAAAAAGAATTAAAAATTAAAAAATTGTGATTAGCCTTGGGGAAGATTATACCTCTGCATACAAGGGGAAGGTTAAAAACAGTGTGTGTTACGTGAATAATTAACAATTTCTATAAATATAATAGATGTGTGTCGTCTTCTAACCAGTGAATTTGTTGGAATAAGGTCTTCTCTGAGCACCGTCGATTTGTTAAACAAACTTTTATCGTGCATGGCTTTGGCACACTAATAGCGCGACCAGTAGTGTCCGAGCTTCCTCAGACATTAAGAATTCTTTTTTCTTGATTAGCTATTAGATCGGGTGATTACTACATGTTCGATGATCTGGACGACGACGATGTGACCGATTTAATACCCGACACCGATTCTGAGAGGAAAGAACAAGAACTTCAACAGGAGCAAGAGAGACGTTCTCGAAGGATGACTATCTCCGAGGTATGTCAATTCTTCCACAGATGAAATGCCAGGAGAAAATTGAATTTCACGACTTGGAAGGTTACTATACGAATCTCTGGTTTGTCTGCTATGAAGTTTTGGATCTGAAACGAGGGTTTGACTAATCCCAATTGAAACGCTTGATCCACTGAAAAATCTAATGAGTTTGTGTATGACTTAGTTAAGCTTGACGTTAAGTCAGCTGGATCATCAGCCAAAATCACGGCCAATGTTGATTTCTTTTGATTTACTTTTGTTTCAATTTACTTCGCGTTTTAGTTAACTTTTAGTTAACTTATGATTCACGCGAAGTTCGATTATTACCCATTATCGATCAGCTGGATCATCAGCCAAACGTTGACACTTCTCATATCGTGTGATCAATGATATTCTATACCTTTATTTTTTCTTTTTTTTTTAACTTTTATTTTCATTTTCCGTGTGTGCTACAAATTCTGCCATTAATTTACATCTGTTACCCCCCCCAACCATGTACCCCAATGCCCCCCGCACCCCCCTTGATTCACGTGTTCCTCGCCCTTGGGTACATCGAGGAGTGTCGTCAGACAAAGAAAGAAAGAAGGCAACACGTGTCCCGTGATAATTGACAACGACTAAGTAAGACTAAAGAGTCTGCTCCAACTTGCAGCTGATGAACACGCTGATTAAGACAGACATTGAGATTGCGACGCACGTCGCCATGTACGGAGGGACTGAAAAGGACGCGCTGAGACTTCGTCGTCGGAGTGTACCCTTAACAAGGAAGAAATCGTCTATGTCCTATCTAAGTGCACGTTCCGAGACCGACACAGCAGTGGCCACCGATGTGAGACCCTCCCCCTTAAAGAAAGAAAAAGGCTGCATGTCACTGCTACAAAGGCTCACTTTCATACACCTGCCCAAAATCATTTTATCCTTTGTCATTTTTTTACATTCGTACAGGACGAATTGGTTAGCTATTACCGTTTTGATTATTTCAATCGGGGCTCTGTATTTCTGAAAAATTTATTAAAACTGAATTGGTTGAAATTTTGCAGATAGAAAAATTCTTCTCGAAAATATTACTTTCATGTAAAATAAAATTATTTGCATAATTTCAGCTAAATAAAATTTGATAAATTTTCGGAAATATCATCTGAAGTGGTGATAGTTACCGATTTATCCTGTGTTACATTTAATTTATGCTATCCTCAACATTTATTCTCTATTAAAATTCTTTCTCCTTGTATATCATTGTCTCTAATACATCATCGATTATCAGTGTATCTTTCAGTAGTATTATTTGTTTTATAATTTTCATTCGCTTTTGTTGTACTCCTTTCCGTTCGTTGTTTTATTTTATTTCATTTTGTCGTAGTTGTCGTCAATCTGAAGGGTGCATCGAAGATCGAACGCAACCCGAAATGTGTCTTCTTGTTTCTTTTTTCTAAATGATTTTTTAATCGCTACGCAGGCATTCACGCAAGTTTAACACTTTTAACACAATAATTCGATTACACGAGACGTATATCTCGTCAGCACAAACACAGCAGAAACATGGTAATTTTATTTGATGATACACACACTCGCTCTAGCGCAGCGCTTACAGTCGAACGTTAATTCTTCTTTTACTTTTCTCGCCATCAGCTTTGTAAAACAAACAAGGAAATGGAAGAGGGTGGCGTTTCATTTGCGTCGATTAATTTTAACTTTCATTATTTTTTGTATTTTTATCAACTCTTCTTTTTTTCCTTTTGTTACTTCTCTTCAATGTTGTAGTCGCAGCTGACAGCGAGGCTCCTCGTCGTTGGTGTACATAATCTGCCGCTCGATACTTCTTTGGCTTAATTTGTTTCCATTATGTTACAGCGACTTTAGCACCTGTAATCTCACGCTTTGTAATATGTAACAGTATAATCTGTTCGATGCCGAGCAGCTGTATACGCAGAATTTGAACCGAACAAAATGCCATCTGATTTCTTTTTAGATTGAAAATTTTATAATTTATTAAATTTGAAAAATTATCAATTAAATCATACCAAGATCGAAGGGTTAATTTTGAATGTAATTAATTATTGATCGATGGCACTGTCTTCAAGTTCCACGTACTAAAGATTTCCTCACGGATCAAAGGATCATCATACGAAATGATGATTTATCATTTGAATCAGGGCGGTGACAAGACGAGTCTCACGTCAGCCGACATCGAAACCGAAGAAAAAGACACGTCAGAGGTGGAACCTGATAAGACACCACAGCCCTCGGACGACGAGTATGAAGAAGATAAAGTGGAAGAAAAAGAAGAAAAGGAAGAAGAGGAGAAAAAAGTGTCTTTGAGCACATACTTTAAATTCCTTTTCGTCATGATTAACAGCGCCCTAACTTCCATGACGAAGTATATGAACAGATTTTCAAGGGACTATAGATACATTCGTAAAGTTCTAGCGATAGAAAAGAAATTATTGAAGGTAAAAGATTGAATGAAGCATGAAAAATTCATTTTCTTCAATTTTGTCCTCTTTTTAGGCAAAACCAGATTTTCGAATGGGAATGAGGCTAGGTATAAATCAAATGTGGCAGCCGATACCTTTGATTAAGAAGAGGTAAGATTTTAATTAATAAATGATCATAGCTTTTTCAATTATCTGTTCGTAGATGCTTAGAAGAAATTCAAGGGTATCGATGAATTGGATTCATCTTAAAAATTGTATATTCAATTGTTCTTACTGTATCCCATAGTCAGGGTCGGATTAAGAAGACGCCTAAGGGGAGCTACAGTTTCAGCCCCCAAAAATATTGAATGAAATTTCTTTTACTTTGAACCCAGTTTAATAATTAAGGGGCTCTTGAAAGTCTGATAGCTCCGAGCTTCAGAAATCTTAATCCGGTTCTGCCCACAATTATAAAGCTTGAGTAGTGATGTGCTTCCCAAAGTAGTCGATCCTCGATAGAAATGTTCAAAGTCCCTATATGAAGTAGTAGTTTATATTTGACCCTGCTATTTAGCCCAGAAATCGTTCAGTAGAAGGTAGAGTAGTAAATGTACTCGGTCTGACAGATCCTCGATTAATGGAATTGCCGAGGAATCTGTCGATGCTGGCGAGGGTCCTAGTCAACCTCGGCCACAGGAAGAAAGGTAAGCTCTTGATGCTTCAAACGGCTTTTATCAAATGGTGTAGTGGCGCAACCATAATTGTTTTAATAGAAGGGTCAACACCCTTCTGACTCCCCATAGTTGCGATACTGATCAGCTGATATCACCTGGTGATAGTTAACAATTTCATCTTCACTAATTGTATCTGTTTTCTGATCGTAATGTCTCAATCAAGTAAACTCGTAAATAAAATATAGTCACCTTTTTAAATTCTGCCCGCATTTATCTCAAGTAGACGTAGAAAGAGAGAGTTGTTTTTGGTAGGAAAAGAAGCTCGCTGACGGTTCCTCAGATCCGAATTCTGGCGCCAAGTTTGGAGCGAGGATTGGACTTGTCCTCCTCCAGGTATCGAAAAACTCTCCAAAACTGAATAATTATTTTTCACTTAATTGCTGAATGCACACTTTGCACGTGAATCTTTGCACACAACGTGTGGGCTGTTTCAATCATTTTGTTCTTCATTATTCTTCGAACTGTATATTTTTCCATGCTGTACAACTGAATTCTTAAAAATTCATGTTTTTATTTTATTCACAGGTTTTTCAAGCTTTGAATGTGCTTTCGACGTTAATATTTCGTAAAAGAAAGAAAATTTTATGCTGTACAAAATTATGTAGTTTCTTTCTTCTGCGAGTTCATGTTTGAAATTTTATTTATTTAATTGTTTGATGTAATTAATATAAATTATCGTTCATATAGCACACTTTTCTCTGAAATGTCACCTGTTCCACACGACGAGGAAGTGGGAGAATTATCGGAAGTCGATCAACCCCCGATAATACAATTACTGGCCTCTATTTGGTTCGGTGTATTGGCTCACTCGAGTTTACTGTGTTACTTCATGGTGTTTCTTCATCAAATTAAAAACGCCTCCATTTTGTCGACACCTCTGCCTCTCATGGTGTTTTGCTGGGGTTCATTGACTATTCCGCGACCCTCGAAAACGTTTTGGGTTACCTTGATCGCGTATACTGAGGTAAGACACGATTCTTCAATAAATGAATTATCTTTTAAATTAATAATTCCTGATACATTTCTACAGGTAATTGTTATCGTAAAATGCATCTTCCAATTGGAACTGTTGCCCTGGAACCGGGATGCTGCACCCAATAATCCTCTTTTTACGCCCAGAATCGTAGGGGTTGAACGGAAATCTAATTATGCCTTATGGGATTTATTATTACTCCTCATGGTATTCTTCCATAGGTAAATTGTATTCAGGCTTTGTAAATGATATGTAGACTATTAGAAATATTTTATTTTTTTTTTTTTATATTTTATACTTCAGGTTTATGTTGAAGTCCTTGGGGCAGTGGACAGCACCAACCCTTAAGCCAAGAAAAATTATTCCCTCCAATTTAACTGTAGTTCCATCTAAACCTCCTCCTGAAGACAGAGGGCAAGGGGAGACTGTGCCACAACAACCTGAAGAGTATGTTCGAAAATTATTTTTTGGATTGCTTAATTTGATTAACTTAATTTTTTTTCAGGGGTAGTACTCGTATAAAAACACCGTCAGGGCGGATTTTAAATATCCGTGGTGAAGGTGAAAATCCAGAAACCCATGATGAAAATGAAAGACTTGTTGCAGTTCAGAGTGAAGAATTAAATCCTCAAAATGAAAAATTTCAAAAAGCTATGAATATGACGTGAGTGAATGATGTTTCGTTGAATATTTGTTCATTTTCTGAAATAACAATTTATGTTTCAGTGTTGAAAAGTATATGGAACCGCCGAAAAATTTCTTCAAAATGATTCTTAGTACTTGTGGTAAAGAGAAGACCAATGTATACGCATATATGTTCCTCTGTGATTTCTTCAATTTTCTACTGCTCATTTTTGGATTCTCCGCGTTTGGAGTAAGGAATATTCTTCTACATATATTTTCATAGGGAATAGATATTAATTTTTGTACATTTTTAGACTCAACAAGGGGATGGCGGAGTGACAGCTTATTTACAAGAAAATCGAGTACCCATGCCCTTCTTATTAATGTTGTTATTGCAATTTGCATTGATAGTCATTGATAGGGCTTTGTTCTTAAGAAAATCCATCTTAGGAAAATTGATCTTCCAGTATTGTTTAATATTTGGTGTCCACATGTGGATGTTCTTCATTTTGCCAAGCGTGACTGAACGGTATAACTAATTATATATAAATTTTAATCAAAATCTCAGCAATTCTTCTAACCTAAAGTCATTTATTATGGTAGACAATTTAATGAGAGGCTTCCACCACAAATTTGGTATATGGTCAAATGTTTCTATCTTCTATTGGCTGCCTATCAATTGCGACAGGGTTATCCCACACGTATACTTGGTAACTTCTTGTGCAAGGAATACAGCATTGTGAACTATGTTCTCTTCAAAGGGTTAGAACATTTACAATTGTCTTTAAATTTTATAACAAACAACAATTTAATCTTCATTTCGAAAACAGGTTCATGCTGGTTCCTTTCTTGTTCGAGCTGAGAGCTGTTATGGATTGGATCTGGACAGACACATCCATGGCTATCATGGACTGGTTCAAAATGGAAGACATATTCGCCAGCATTTATCAAATTAAAGTACGATCAATTTCTTTCAATTCGTTGACATGTAGACTCATTAATAGCACTTAAATAATAAAAATTTCAGTGTATGCGAGGCGTAGAAGCGGATTTCCCTCAACCACGTGGGGTCAAGAAGAATCAGATGAGCAAGTACCTAGTGGGTGGTGGTGCTTTGTTCCTTATGATAGGACTGATATGGTTCCCACTACTTTTGTTTGCACTTGGTGGCACTGTTGGCGTTTCCAATCTTCCATACGACGTTTCTATGAAGATTAGAATCGGTTCATACGAGCCTATTTACTCCATGTCTGCTCAAAGTAGTTCCATCATTGAGTACAGTGATATAGAATTCAAGAGGCTTACGAATTTTTATTCAAGGGATAGACCTGCAGTTACTTTCCTAGAAAATTATGTCCATTCTGATGTTGCTGCAGTTAAACTGAGTGGATTTTCCAGAAAACTGTGGAGTATATCTCCACCAGACTTACAAAGGTACTTTAAGTCCCAAATTAAAATGACCTCTGCTGTTAAATACACCATATGCCCAGCATTTTATATAACAATGTAATTTTTGTTTTATACCAGACTGAGACAAGAATTAGAAGACAACAGCACCACTGTCATCGTTCACGTGGAATGGACAGTGTCACGAAAGACAGATGCCAAAGACGTCAGTGGCATAACGACGAAGACTCGTGATATAAAATTGTTCCCATTCGTCAACGATGAGTTTAATCCTGTTAGAAGAACCTTAGCTGACATGTTATCGACAGACGAATCGACTATACATAACGGCACTATCCTACTGCAAAATGTATTTCCGAAATTCTTGAAAGTAACCGGTCGCGACACCGACGTGGTTCCCCAATTGATGCATTTATGTAAGTTACGTCCCAGAAGTAGATCAACAATAAATTGGTCCAAATATAAAATGTCAATTAATTTTCCAGCAAGAAGAGACGACGAGGATACAAAAGAACATGACGATAGCTATCTTTATAGAAATATTAGTCTTCATCTGTCCACTGATATGGAATGCTGTGCCCACCAGAAATGGTGGATCGTCAGTGAAGCTTGTGATGATCCATTGTACGAGCAGTTGTTAAGAAGAATACCTCTGAATAATTGCAAATACATCATGATGTTCTTGTTTAATGAAAAAACATTCCCTGAAGGTTTGAGCTTCATCAGTGGATTAGGGTACGTTTGGAAAATAATCAACCCCCTGACTTGATTGAGTATCAATTATTAATTAGTGTATGGTTTAATAGAATTTTAGGTTTGTATACCACCGCGGTCATAGTGATAAGCCAAATGACTAGGAAAATAGTTAGTGACATGGCGCCGAAGATTATGTTCGATGACCTGCCCTATGTGGACAGAATCCTCCGACTGTGTTTGGACATTTATTTGGTCCGCGAAAGCGGTGAATTGTGCCTCGAAGAAGACCTGTTTGCCAAATTAATATTCCTCTACAGATCACCAGAGACGTTAATCAGGTTAATTACTGAGATAATCATTATCAGATTATCGAATTTGGAACATGATAAATTAATTATATTCTTGTTTAGGTGGACAAGGCCTCCTGAAGAAGGCGAACGGACTGATAATGAAGATCAAGATGAAGCAGAGGAGGAGGGAAGGGAAGAATCTCGAGAAGCTACTCGTCGTGAATGAACATTTTCAAAAATGGAACACGAACAATATTATTAAGGTTTAAACCTGAGTTAACCCTTTGGCCTAGTTCTTCTTTCAAAATATAAATAGCTTTACGCACTTATGAATAATGGCGTAACGAGTGATTTGGAAATTAAGAAAAAGAAGCTCAGGAATTTATAACTCTATTTGTTGTTAGATTGATGAATGAAGAAATTGTTCCTATCTTCAGTGATTAATAGTATGCAATTGTACATACAATGAGGAAGTTGATTCGAAAAGTTGAAAAAGATGCAAGAATAAGATTCTTTATTTCACTGTCCTAGTTTTAAGCGAAATTTTTACTTTAATATTTATTTATAAGAGATTCGCTTAGGTAGCACAATATATGAAGAGACTATTGTGATTATGAAGTGCTTTTAATGTGTACGAATGAGTTATCGTACCATATGTGAGATGTTTCTTTTTTATCTGTAATTTATTTATAATTCACGCCCACGTCTGCATTTCAAGCATGATTCCATTTCAGACTGCATTTTTACGAGATAAAAGCATGTTCATCGGAAAACTGCCGTTAGCAAAATCTTTAGTTCTTTTTTGTACGTTTTTCTAATCATCAAAACATCAAGTTGTCATTTACGAATAGCGAAGATGGTAGAGCCTTGAGCGTGTTTTATATATTACATGTTTGAAATGAAGATTCGTCTTTACGATGACTATCATTCTTTGTAAATATTACATTATACGATGCGCGTTTTCGCTGAAACATTGTATCATGTCGCCTTGATATGCCTTTTAAGAGTATCTTCAAATATAAATCATGTTTCGAATGGACCTCGTGTAATTTTCCTTCCCAGATTTAGTCACACGTTTATAAAGTATTCTATTGATCATTTATTTATTTCTCTCACTCAAAAGGATATACATACAAGTCGCCGTTCGATTCCATAAATATATTTTTAAATTAACTTGGAATAAAATATTACAAGAAGCACGGTTTAAGGAGGACTAATACTTTTCTTCAAACGTTAGCTCTTAAAAATATTAATAAAAACGTTAAAAAATATACGACTTTGTTCATTCCAACGCACGTATTATCATCTTCTTTGCTATAAATTGTAAATACATAACAACGTGGAAAGTATCGTACAGTTAAAACGCTCGTGAACAATTACTTCTCATTACGATATCAATTATTATCACTAAGTAGAAACGGATAGACAGTCTCAAAGATATCAAAATGGAAAATCGAATTTTTTAAAACTTTTATCAGATTTAACTAGATACGATTTTAATCGAGTAATTGATATAAGCGTAAATACATCTTTCATTTGAGCAACAATTATTTGGTTCTAATTAAGTGGACTCTTATCGTGGCGTGATTCTAATTGGGTAAATTCCACTCATCCGTTTTTTTTTGAAACCGTACGGTTATGGGGATCGGGGCAACGATAGCGTGGATAATGATAACGTAGCCATGTGTTGCTAAATTCGTGGAAAGTACGAGATAGTTACAGAACTGCCTTATATTTTCATACTCAATGTTAATAATTAATGATAATCAAGGATAATAACAATGAAATGGAATGGATACATGTTAATCAACAAATTCTAAGAACCTAGGATCACAGCAGTGTACATTTTTGCTATTCTTTAGATAACTCTTTGCATTTCAGTTTCAATGCAATATTCTCTTGTTTAAGAAATTCAAATTCCTCCATCTTCTTCTGCAATTCTTCATTCCTCTTTTGCAAGATAACAATGTCCTCTTGTTGCCTTTCATTCTGTTCAATTAAACTTCTTACTCTGGTTGAATCTTTGCTTGGATGTATTTCATTCACTATTTCTTCTGTTTGAAATAAGAGATGTTTGATAAGATTAGCTTGGGAATTAAAGTGTAGTTCCTGCATTGCTCTCAAAATTTTTGTGCTTTCCTGTTTAGTACAGATGCTTACTATGTCCTTAATGGCATTAAGGAAAGCAACTGGATCAGTTTCTTTGAAATCTGGTTTCTTTCCTTTGTCTTTGGGAACTTCCATTTGGGAAGTACCTTCTTTAGAACAATCAGAAGGTCTACTGTTTTCTTTAACAGATACATCTGGGGTCTGATTGTTCTCTTTACAACTACCAGAACGGCGGGTTCTATCTTTCCCAATAATTTTATTCTCAGAAATCCTAACTCTTGTCTCTCTCATTTTTGTTTTAACATCATCTTTAACTTCATGCTCTTTGCCATCACCTTTTACTCTATTCTCAATTGGTTTCAACTTGCCCTCAACAGATCTCTCCTTCCTTTCAGATACTTTTACCTTGGCTTGATATTTTCTAGTGTCATGTTCAGACAGCTTCCTTAAATCTTTTCCATGTAGTTCCTTAACAGATTGCTGCTTTTCAAGAACAACTGGTTCAATTCTATGGTGCACATTCTCTGCCTTATGTAAGGGGGAGGATGTTGCAGTTCTGGTTGTTACATGCCGATCTACTTGATAAGCATTCACAGTTTTAACATCAGCAGGTACTAATTCTAAGTCTTCCAAGAAAGAGTCATTCATTTTTTAAATTATATATATTATTTTAACAGTATGTAGAAAATAAATTTTTCGCATGTATATGAATACAACTCTTTTAGGAACTGTTCTTTCAACCCTTATCTCACAAATGCTCTATCACAACAACCATAAAACTTGGTTGGAAAGTTCATTATAATAAAATCAGTAAATACCAACAGTTTGCACCGCTTAACCAGAAGAAGTGCAACACTTTAATTACTAAAACTCAATAGTCTGCAATATGTTGTGGTCAGGGTTAAAAATAGTAAGAAATCTGCAGTAACCTTCGATCAAATTACCGGACGTGAACATAAATACCTGACCAATTCAAATTACGTTGTATAGACACAGTCAGCTGACTAAAATTCGTTACACCTGCGCGCCACCTACAACAAACTAACTCGTTCGGACCAAACTATCTAATCGCCACTGTTTATTATAGTTTCATGTTAAAGTCAAGTGGAAAAGTAATGTTCAGCTTAAGGATAACTCTTCAATAATTTTCTTTTTGTTTTAATCAAACAATATTTCGCTTCTTAAACTTTCTATTCGTTATATTGGCAACATTGACGCGCCGCTATATAAAGATTCGTTTTGCGTTTGATCGGGACAATTACGTTTCGATCTCGTGGGCGAGATTTGAAAGTGGTTTTTCTAGACCGTTAGTTTTAATGAGAAACACGATGAAGAGGCTCGTGTGCGTCTTACAGATCGCTTTTTTTATCTCAATCGCAAGTGGATTCATAAACGTTTATCCTAAATTGAAAAGTTATCCTTTTCCCGACGATGAAGATACGGGAAAGCCTCTATTCTTGACGCCTCTTATCGAAAGTGGCAGGATAGAAGAGGCTCGTAACAACGCGGTCGTACAGCACAAAGAAATGGACGATGTCAGCAGTTATGCCGGTTACCTAACCGTCAATAAATATTACAATTCGAACATGTTCTTTTGGTTTTTCCCAGCTGTGGTAAGTAATCGAATACTTCCGTCTTTTTTTTTATCGACGTTACTTTTAGAAGGCCCGTTGTTCGAAATGACGATCATGTTTCGTGTAAGTTGAATAAAATAAATAATTGAGCAGTAATATGGGATCTTATTTTACATAGCACAATCCGAAAACTGCTCCTGTAATGTTATGGCTTCAAGGGGGTCCAGGTGCTACATCCATGTTTGGTTTATTTATTGAAAATGGTCCATTCATAGCAACTGCAAACAAAACTCTTGCAATGCGTAAATATTCTTGGAACAAGTCACATAATATCATTTATATCGATAATCCTGTGGGTACTGGATACAGTTTCACTGAAAATGATAAAGGATATGCCACCAATGAAACTCATGTGGGAAGGGATGTTCATACTGCATTGGTACAGTTCTTTAAACTGTTCCCAGAACTACAGAACAATGATTTCTATGTTGCTGGTGAATCTTATGCTGGGAAATATGTACCTGCAGTGTCTCATGCAATCAAAGATTTCAATATCAAAGCACAGACAAAGATAAACTTGAAGGGTTTGGCAATTGGGAATGGTTTGACTGATCCAGAAAATCAGTTACACTATGGAGATTATTTGTATCAGTTGGGATTAATTGATGAAAATGGAAGAAACTTGTTCCATAAGTATGAAGAAGAGGGTAGAAGTCTAATTAGACAAGAGAAATATGAAGAAGCCTTCCAAGTGTTTGATGACCTTCTTAACAGTGACTTAACTGGATATCCATCATTGTTCAAAAACTTGACTGGATTTCAATACTACTTCAATTACCTGCATACCAAAGACTCAAATGATTCTGACTATATGTCAGAATGGATTCAGAGGCCAGATGTGAGGAAAGCAATACATGTTGGTAATTGCTCATTCCATGTTGAAGATAATACAGTAGAAATGCATCTAAAAGCTGATGTTATGAAGTCTGTGGCAGTCCTTGTATCAGATCTTACACAGCATTATAGAGTTCTCTTGTACAATGGGCAGCTTGATATTATTGTTGCTTACCCTCTGACAGAGAGTTATTTGCAACAATTAAAATGGCCTGGTGCTGAAAAATATAAAGTAGCTCTTAGAAAACAGTGGTGGGTTGGAAATGAATTAGCTGGATATTCAAAAACTGTTGATAACTTAACTGAAGTTATGGTAAGAAATGCTGGTCACATGGTTCCTGCAGATCAGCCTAAATGGGCTCTTGATCTCATTACTCGTTTTACACACAACAAAAGTTTCTAATTACTTGTATCAATCAATCTGACAAAATATGTGATAATTCTTATTATAGTTGTATTTACTGCAGCATAGCCATAAGAAAATGTTAACTTAAACTATATGGCAACGAATAAAACTGAAATGTAATCATACTACAAATGCAATTCTGATACGTAATTTTATAATGAAAGAGGTAGTAAACTTTTATTGATACATGAAAATGTGTAGAAGTATCTTATTACTAAATGATCTTATATACACGATTTCTCCTATTTAGTATACAAAATTTCAGTCCCAAATTGTCATGATTCCCGAAATCTTCGTTTTATTTAAGATCCCTTTGATATGGCATCAGTCACTTCTAATAAAATACATTAATCTAAATATGGCAATAAATAGTCATCCACTATAGATACATTTCTGTGCCATTCATAATGAGGGACATTTGGTACCGTGATGAGAGTGAGCCTGTCACTCTTGTCCAATGTTTTCAATCCAATTAAATCGTCCTTATAAATATCTCTATCACGCATTTCTATTACAGTTTCGTTAGTATCGTAATACGCAAAATGACTGCTTTGCCATGGAGTGATAACACCATCCTCGGGTCCTCCGACCAATACCATACGTTTCAGTTTGGTAAGACCTTCCTTAAAGTCTGTCGATTTCCTTGTCATATTTATTTCATTATTCAGATATGGAAGAAACTTGCTGTACTTGTAATATAATTTCTAAACAAAAGAAACCATCATAATCTTAAACACGATCGCTTTTCAAACAAACAAAGAAAGAATACCAGAGAAAGTATATCGACCTGATGATGTGGATCGTTCCAATAATTCCCAATACTTGTGTGTTGTCCAACTTTGGAATAAAAAAGTTCATAAGCAGTTTCACATACCAGATCAGGGAAAAATAAATGCAGAAAACGAGCTGTAAAGAAAGAAAATCATTTGAATGAGCAGTTCCTTTGTTCTCCTGCTGAGATGGCAGCACCTACTTCCATATTGACCAGCCTGTGGGGAACTCAATGAAATGAAATTCCTAACATTATGCTTAGGAAATCTCTGCAATATGGCTCTAGCTAATAAACCACCTTGGCTATAGCCTACTAGATGTATTCCTTCAGGGAATGCAGCTCCTATGGACAAGACATCCACTCCTATCTCCTCTACTTGTCGCCACATTGGCTCCAGGCTACTCCATCCTGCATACCTTGGCGTGTTATAAACCTCAGTTCCAGGGTGCATCTGCAATCAAGTATCGTGTTGGAAACGCAGAAAGAAGAAGAAAACAAAAAATTTGATTGTATCATGTTTACCCGCCAGTAGGTGCGACATCTGCATCATCCTTGATAATGAACTTGAGGTACTTACTTCTTGAATTCTATTGCTGATAAGTTCCATGCTATCGCTCCCAGTGAGCACACCATGGATAACGACCACGGCACGATAACCTTCGACGACATTATTAATTACAATCAAAAACAAAGCGAAGAAATCAAACGGTCTGTAATTTAGGAGAGCCATTGACACTTGTAAGGAATGAACGACGCTTCAAGAGCAACGCAGCGTTTCCAGCTTATAACTGCTTTCCTTTGGAACTGCAGTTGTCAGAAACAGCTGTTCCTTTGTGCATTGTTGTGATTTCTGATTGGAGCATTACTATCGTCGCCCTGCGCTCTGAGCAGTGAGAGTGCTGCTTTTAGAATCGATTTTCTGAGAAACGACCAAACATCTGTTGTTGGAAATGAAGAAACTTACTTTATCAGCGACAGGCATGTGTTTATGCTTCAGAAAGAATCAGCTAGAAGACTACAGTGTGTCATTGTGCAATGATAATTCTATTTTTAAGAAAATAGAATTGTTTGGTACGTTCATGATCTAATTTTGTCTAATCTCAAGGCAATTGAGGTACAAAAATGTAAAAGTTTTAAAATTCATTTAACTCAAAGACCACCACTCAGGCGCCTCAGGAAATGGAAGAAATCAATTAGAAAAATTGGTTCTATAACTGTGCTAGATATGACCAGGTTTGATTGATAGGCCAGGGTCAACGGCGGCAAAAAGAATCCAACAGCGTTTCCAAATAACGTGATGCAGAATGTAGTAGGTCCCTAATCCTTTTGGAACTGTATGGTTGGGCACGTGCCATTTCCCGTGCTTACTTTAACCATATATCACCGTGTTCTGACATCACCCCTACGAAACTCACGCCTCACGTTTGGAGGATGTTTGTCGCATTGTTTCGACCAGCCTTACCCTCGATTATCATGGCTTTACAAAAGGACAATCCTTTTGTTAACACCATGTGTTGCAATTTTCCAGAGGGTCTATTCAAGAATACTGAGTGTCTTTCAAGGGTATTTTTAAAGAACACCTCTATTAAAGCAATCTTTTGAATTTGCCGAGTCATTCACGTTATGAAAAAAGCGGAATGGATGTCTTTTTTAGGAGAACCTAAAGAGTACCATAGACGTCTCTGGTCATAATTACTTAAATAGATCAAGGATTATATTTTGAATGAAATTTGGTACCAGTAAAAACAGTGTTCTCCTTTTTCTCTAAGAGATTAGAACATCGTACAACAATTTAATCGGAAAGAATACCTGGGAACGAACGTGCTTACGTATTTCTGATGTCGCATGCTGGCTGTAATCGAGTCCCCGAGAAGCTTTGAAGCTTCCAGCGTTTCTTTCTCGTCGAAAGAGGGAAAAGAAGCGAAAGGGGAACGAGAAAAGCGGAGAAGGAAAGACGGCCAATCCAATTCCACACTCAAACCCGAGCACCGTGATGGCGGAGGGTGGCGAAAAAACGCAGCCACGCCATACCAGAGCGCAACGCGGGGAGCCCTAGGTCTCGGAGCTTTTTTGCGTTTAATCAAGGATATTCGCGGTCGGCTGACTCGCTATTTTAGTCCACCAAGTGCTAACCGAGGCGCGCAACCACCGGCATATCGCAGGAAGTGGATGAAGGAATCTTCGTCCTTTGACCTCGCAGGGACGCTTCCATTTATCCGTCTCTATTCTTTACTTTGTAATCTAAGGTTAAACAATGTAAATAACATCTAAATAAATGAATTTTTTTAAGAAAAATGTCTGTGTGAAAATATTCCAACCACTCATACCACCCCTCCGGTGATAATTTAGCCCGGTTTTGTAAATTCAAATGGTGTGCAAATGCCTGATGAACGAGCAGTGGCACAATAATGTTTGCAGAAATATGCAGGAACCGCTGCCACTTATGTTTTTTTAGCACCCAGATGCTGTCTACTCTTCCTTAAAAAAAGGATCAAAATAATGAACAAAAGTAACGCTCTTAGTTCATTTTCTTTTTTGTAAGAAAGAGTAAAGAAACGCTGTTCGATTCACGGAGCGAGTAGTTTTTCTTCGTCACCAAGAGGAATCATAGATCCCTCTTCGTCCGTGAGTCGACTCGAGAGGCTGTTTAAGGCCACCCTCTGGCTCGGGTAAGTACAGAGGCGGGAGAGAAGACGAAGTGGGTGGTACGGTGTCGGAGGAACGGCCGGGAGATTAGCGTTAATTACAGAGTTGAGCCGTTCCGGGGTTGGGACGGGCGCGAGGTATTTGTCACTCGGCACTGCTCTCGACTCCTGTTCCTCGTTCTGAATATTAATAACCCTGTGCCATCCTTCGCCGACCCCCTTCTCTCCTCGCCCCTGTTCCACCTACCCTCTCACTGCACACCTCTCGTTTTACGACATCCGATGAATTGCACGCCAGACAACGCTACTCATTATGCTGACTGCTTGATTTCATCACCGTCACCGCTACGAAAAATTAATTGTCCCGTGATCAGCGGGGGAGACAAGGATCAACTTGGAGATTCTGATTAACACTTGCCACCTCCATCGGCGGGATGGTTATGCGAGCTGTTTGGAAAGGCAAGAACAATTTGTATAAGGGAGATTAGATACTTTATGGATTCCTTGACAAGGATGCAAATAAATAAAATATCCAAGAACGTTTTGCCAGTGTCTGAATTGGAAGTTCTTCTCCCAAGACGGTCTTCTGCCATTCTTCTCCCTCGTATCATTTTCCAAAAATTGAAGAACGCTACCTTGGACGATCGAACCCCTCTACCGATGGTTTTAACCCCTTCCACGTATCATGTCGATCAATCGATATGCTCTCTCGTCCTTTCTGCGGTCGGTCCCTCGATGGCGGTCCCATTCCCGCGCGAAACGTTCAGATATTCAAAGTCGGGGAATAGTTTATTCATGGCCGGCTCGGAGAACTTAGAAAGATATTGGAAGCGGCCCAGGAGAGGGCGAAAGATAGGAAAAAGGGACGGAGGAGGACGACAGAGAGAGAGAAGAACGATATTGGTCGGACGGAAGTGTCCCCTCGGGGAAACGAGAAAACGGGAGGAGCATCGTCTCTCCCCAGATCCGATAAAGCGAAAGAGGGACCCCCTTGTGGCACGGCCACCACTCCTACGAGTTGACCCACGTGACAGCGAGCCCGCCAATAAAATTCAAATAAACTCCACCGTGCATACTAAATTATCACATTTTCCATTACCCGACCGCGTGCCTATCCCCAAACAGCTTCCGTTTGCTCCACAGCGAACGTTTCAACGTCCTGTCGAAATTCCAATATTTTTTACTTTTTACCCAACCGTACCACCGCTTCCATGATGAAACTTCTACGTCCTTTGAAAACAGAACAGTGATGCTGGAATGATTTCCAAATGACTAATAACTCTGAGAGAAACTTAAATTAAGTTTTAATTAAATTAAACGTGCTTTGCATGTGTGATAATTTTGTAGGCTCTAAACTTAATTTTTTCCTCGAAACAGAAGAATGACTTTAGAACGATTTCACAATATCCTGAAAGGACCTATCATTTTCTTCAAGATATACAACTTAATTGATTATTGCCGGAACCAGGACTTGATCCGTTTTGATGGAAAACCATTGAACTTAACAATGAGCCTATTAGGCTTTCGAAGATTAAAAGGGGTGAACACCTTTTTGTAACAATGTATTGGCTACAACTTGAAGATTGTTATCGTCGTCATTAATACAAAGTTGGATACTCACCAAGGAAAGTGGGAATGACTCGTTCAGGAGGGTCCAGTGGTGTCTGACGAAAGGGACGCAGAGGTCAGGTGTCCTTTCCCAGGAACGCCCCAGATTTCGACATTACTCAAGCGGGATCAACCTGCCAGCAAGGAGGCCATTGTTCGCCTTTACGTTGCCGAGTTTCTTCCGCATCGATGCTGCACCATCTTCCTGGACGATCGTTCGGATACATGGCACTTTTTGCTCCTGTACGACCGTATCGAATGTCCAGAAAGATTGCTCGGATACAAACAGTGGTGAAATGTATGTATTGTTATTTTTATTCGTATCCTTCGAGGATTTTTAAACAATTTATATCGAATTCATGCGGGCAGGTGATGTTAGAATTTTTATTTAAAATTATTAAGTATTGAGATTCTATTGACAGAGTTTCAATTTTCATGGATTTTTCACGATAGCATAAACCCGTTAAGACGGACAGAAATTAACCAAACGAAGTTTCGCCGTGTAAAACAATTAGTAGCTTTAGCTGTGCCCCTATTCACCCTATCAGCTTGTCTACGCCCCGACTATTAGTATAATCGCTGGAGGCTACGACCCTTAGCCACCCCCGAGCGATTCACTTTAATTCTTAGCGAGTTAGAATCACCATCCCTACCTTTTCTACGATCGGCATGACCTTCAGCCTTATTGTACATTTATTTCGTTCAACTAAAAATTTCAACAGATGAAAAATATTTACGAAACACGATTTTTCACCAAGTGATTAGACGACAATTTTTCCACGCTGTTCCGCCTTTCGTCACGTCCAGAAATAAATGTAGCGTTCCGTTGCGTGTCTAATTGATTCCCAGCGTGGCAAGGGGTCACGATACGACCGCATCAGGGTGAATTTCCAAACGTCGATCCACCCCTTTGCATTATGGATGCACCTGATTTCACACTTGTTCGTTCGCACTGGCGAACTCCGCCGCTGTAACGTCTCCATCGATATAAACGGTCCGCAATTTGCTGGCCCATTGTAAACCGCCCCCTTCGGTTCGATTCATGGGTAATAAATCCTGGCACCGGGATATATGCTGAATTTATGTTTACGAAAGCTATGGGCGTGGAAAAGGTAGCCGTCTACCACCTGAAATCTGTCGTAACTATCCTTGCTCGTGTTCAGAATATTTTTGCGAATTTAGATTTTATATATGAAAAAAGAAAATGTGCAGATTTGTTAATTTTTTGTTTTCAAATTAATCTTGTTGAGAAATTTTAGTCGTTAAGGGTTGATCTGAAAGGATTATCAGTATAAGCGAGCGAGAACCCGAAAATTTCGGATACCCGAATAAAATTCCGTCTCGATAGGGTTAGTCACTTATTACAAATCATTTTGTAGCCATGATATCGATCAGATATTTGAAATTGGCCGTGTAACATGCGTAGGTCCGCGCCACGTGTCGTCACCGACGTCAGACGTCGTTCAACATCCCTCCCCTCTGTGAACCTTCTTTGTACCCGCAAAACCCACTTGAATCGTTGGTCGGTTCGTCTATTCGTTCGTTACTCGTCATTCAATACCAATTTGTCCAGTTACCGAGATTAGAAAGCGACTTGAAAGCGATGCTAATTCGTCCTGCGTTCTCCGCTTTCTAATTTGAGATTCACCCTCTCTGACCCCGTGCTTAATGCTCTATATTCCGTTTTATATTAACACAGCAGCATCGATCGCGGTTGTTCGAGTAACCTGCATCCGATTTCTCGAAATAACACGGAAAACGTTCTAAAAAATAAATGAAGATAAAGTAACGATAAGAGTATTCGGTATTTAGAGCGGAAGCGAAGCATCAAGAGGCAAGAAACAAAGCAAAGTGAAAGACAACTCCGGAGGAAGTCGCAATCAAAATGCTAATCGCCGGGAACAAGGTGTAAGTCCATAGAAATTGGATGTGAGGGACTTAATATTACTCTGCGACTCGGATCGCTAAAGAGTATTACGGGGGGGATTATCGGGGTAAAGTGACACCCTTGCCCCCAGGGCTGCGGCGATGTACAGTGTGCAGTCTTAACAAAACACCGGGGGTTAGCCGAGCCTTCTGTAAATATTGTTACCGCCACCCCGTCGGCAATTTTGCCAGCCATATGTTAGACCACCGATGTCCTTTTTACCGTTTCCGTTTCGCTTTGAATCTGATTCACTCGATTGATCTTGGCAGATAACAAAATCTAAATGAAACGAAAGAAGAAGTTATTAAATTGCATACAGTCTATCTAGGTAGTTTCGCTGATGAGTTGTTCACTCTTTTACATCTAGTATCCCCATAAGGCGAAGCATAATCTCTTATCAGCGATACAGAAGCGCACGCACGCCGGTTCGCTATGATCAACGAGTTTTTCAAACGTCACCCCGTCGAAACGGCTGGGATTTTCGTTCGTGTCGTGGACGAATGCCCAGTGGAATCGCGTGTAATACGCGTTGCACGCGTGCAGAGAAGAATTGGGGTCGCAGAGCCAGGACAAGGGGTGGTCGGATATATTTGCTTTAGAACCGGGCAATCACGTCGAGGGTGGTCCAAGCCCACCAGACTGCGATCCGGATTAGCGAGATCATAATCAGCCAATCACTGGCACGGTGCAGCAAGGTGTCAAATGTCAGTTCCTGCGGGACGTGGATTGATTTCTTTCGCTGGATTCGCGTCGACGGGGGTTGATTTCGCGATACCCGTCGAATCTAATGGGATTCTACAGTTCGGAAGGGAAAGGATGGATTGGATTTGCTCGGCACCGCTTCAAGCTGTCAACGAGGAACTTCTACCTTGAGTCTACGGAAACGGATGCTGATGCGAGCCGC